TTAACTACCCTCACTTATTTGCCTTCTGCTCATTTATTAAGCAAAATGGTTGAAATTACCTTTATCTTCTTAATATTTAATATTATAGATATTTCTAGATTATGAAAACATTAAAGCAAGTTACTCCTTCAACAGTGACTCCATCAGAAATTAGAGTTCTTTTATTTTTTTTAATAATGTTTTTTTCAGCTTTTAAACAAGTAGAAAAAATTAAGACAACTCAATAGACAATAAGCAGGGGAAAAGAAAAATCAAGAAAAAAATCAAAAACTATAAGAAAAAAAGTTTAGAAAAAGAAAAAAAAGAGAAAAGAGCAGCTTCTGATATTCTTCACAGCAGTTATAAGTACAAATATATTTTAACTCCACTCTCTATTGTTACATAATAATGCTCTTCTTTATATCTGTCTTTCAAAGCCATAAGTCTCAAGTTCTTTTTTTTTCATTTTATGCAAAACATCCATAAGAGACATCCAGTCAGCAATAAATATAGATAATGTCTTTCCTCTAATCAAAGAAATTATCCATTTCAGCAAAATCTTTATCAACCATAGCCCCATAGTGGGTGGTATTGAATCTTTCCATCTCTGTGCATACAGTAATGTTGCTGCTGTGATCATATATTGGAATAATTTTCCATGGCTTTTTTTCCTAACTGCTTGTCCATTATAAAAAGAAAAGTTCTGGCTTTACTAATCAGATTTGTTTTAAGTTTGGTCTGATACCATCACAACTAAATTTACTTGTGAAACCTTGATACTTGTCCCCAATATCCGAATGCCTTCCACCTAGAAGACTCATTATTTGGTAGCCAAACTTTTCTAAATATTTCAGCCATGCCCATACAGCAACACAGAAATATCTTGCTATTACCTTCTTAAAGTTCCTTCATCTAAACAAGTAAGTTTCTTTTACACCTGCAAAGCAAGAAAAATAAATTCCAACAGTTTTTAGTTATATCTTTTGTCTTCTTTAGCCTTAAAACCAGAGTTTTCAGATTTTCTATCCCAGCTCAGAGGAGTCTAGTGTTACCATAACCATCTGTACGTATTGTCCCTTTGCATTCAATCCAAACTAGTTGTTCTTGATTCCTGTTTATTTTTATTCATAGCCAAGTATAAGAATCCCTTTTTGATGTTGAGGTTCTGTTCTGATTCAAGAAGAGCCCATTGTTCTTATACAGACATGAATGTTTATAAAACGTTTTGGCAGTACCAAACATTTTGTGCCTATTCCAGAATCCCAGACATATATTGAAAGCCATTGGTTTTACTGTTTACTTGGCCCTCTAGGTGAAACAGAAAGCTTTCAAAGAAAGCCAGACTGGCTTTCAGTTTCCTTTGGAGAAATTTAAAGTTGGCACACAAGAATTCATGACTAAATTCTCCTGTGTCACAATATGCAGAATAATCATTAAATATGTATCAGTATGCAGACTATCTAAGTAGTGCATGAATATAAGCAGCAAGTGCACCAGGCAGGCAAATTACCATGCAGTCTATGAG